CGCCCGGGGGCGGCGCCCTCCCGCCGCAGCCGCAGTGGCCGGAGCCGCAGCCGGGAGCCATGGGCAACATCTCCTCCAACATCTCGGCTTTCCAGTCGCTGCACATCGTCATGCTGGGCTTGGACTCCGCGGGGAAGACCACGGTGCTCTACCGGCTCAAGTTCAACGAGTTCGTCAACACCGTGCCCACCATCGGCTTCAACACCGAGAAGATCAAGCTGAGCAACGGCACCGCCAAGGGCATCAGCTGCCACTTCTGGGACGTGGGCGGCCAGGAGAAGCTGCGGCCACTGTGGAAGTCCTACAGCCGCTGCACGGACGGCATCATCTACGTGGTGGACTCGGTGGACGTGGACCGGCTGGAGGAGGCCAAGACCGAGCTGCACAAGGTGACCAAGTTCGCCGAGAACCAGGGCACGCCGCTGCTGGTCATCGCCAACAAGCAGGACCTGCCCAAGTCTCTGCCGGTGGCGGAGATCGAGAAGCAGCTGGCGCTGCACGAGCTCATCCCGGCCACCACCTACCACGTCCAGCCGGCGTGCGCCATCATCGGCGAGGGCCTCACCGAGGGCATGGACAAGCTCTACGAGATGATCCTGAAGCGCAGGAAGTCCCTGAAGCAGAAGAAGAAGCGGTAAAGCGCCCGGGGGGGCGCGGGGAGCCCGGGGGGAGCGAGCGAGTGCGGAATGAATGAGCCCATGGGTGGATGGGGCGCGGGAAACCGCGCCCGCGAACAAAGACAGCGAACCAAAGCGATGCTTCTAATTTGGCAAAGGAGATCCCGGCACCTGGGCGCGGGGCTGGCGACTGGCTGGGCGTGAGGCCTGATGGGGGCCCGCCCCTGCCCCCAGCTCGGTGGACCTTTGTCTGAAGGCCGGAGCTGCAGCTGGGGTGGGGACCCCCCTCCCCACCGCAGAAACCGCGGGGACCCCGGTGGGGAGTGGAGGGCAGGACCTGCCATTTGCCCTTGCGGCCCTGAGTGGAGGCTCCGAGGCCAGAGACAAAAGCGATTTCCTCCCGGCCCGAAGTTCAGGCTGCCCCGCCCCCACCGGGGCTTTGCACCTGCGCTTCCCCGGAGGTATGCAGTCCCCAAACCTTCGGGGCACCCGCCGGGGGGGGGCATGCTGGCGCTGGTGGTGCTGGGGGACAGCGACGCATTCATGGGCTGAGGGACGTGGCTGATTGTCTGTCACAGGGCAGGCCCCTGTTGAGATTCCGTGGGTCCTGCCCTGGGCCCGCGGGAGGTGGTGGCGTGAGTGATCCAGACAGACTGGCCCACCCCGGGCACTGCCCCACGCTGGCCTGGCCGGGGAATGGCCCCTGACTGCGGCGATGCCCGCTGCGCTTTGTGGTGGCGACGCATACAGAAGACCAGGTTGGTGCAAACTGCTGTCCAACATGCAGATGGTTTGGACGCTGTCCATGTGTAGGTCATCATCACACAAAAAGACCAATAAAAATTAAAAAAAATAAAAAACCCACCAACAACCCAACAGCAGAAGTAAGGCTGCAGAGGGGACGACAGCGATGCATTTCTTGTTTGCAGGGTAGTCAGAGGCGTGGAGGGGGCTAGGCGCCAGGCAGAAATGCTGAATGGGGGGTGTGTGTGGATACGGGGACCCTCCCCCACCTCCGGACTGTGTAATAGGCATAAAAACCTAGACCGTATGTGCAGAATGTTCAATTCTCCTACCTGATTGGCTTGTCTGCGCTCTTGGATGCAGAGGTTTGCTGAATTAAGGGGTGGGTTTTGCGAGGGAGTCTCTTGTCATGCTACCCCGTGATGATGGGTTTTCAGACATGTTTTAAAAAATACCAAGATGCAGCTTTTGCAGATGGATATTCACCTAAGAGATTTTCATGTTAGGGGGTAGGGGGAATAAAAGAAGACTTGGCCCTTTCTATGTCCCTGACACTGCAGGAGAGGACTTGCTCCCATCTCTGAATTGGTTCATTGTGGCTTATCTAGTTTAAATATTTCATCCCAAATGTCTCAGAGTATTTGCTCTCATGCACCCAAAAGAAAGTAAAACCCCATCTTATTGCAAAAGACAACCCCATGGCATGGATTTAAAAGCGGAGGAGAAGCACACAGCTGAGGTGGTCTTTCCTGAGCTGCCCTGGAGGGATCTGGTCAGCAGGCCAGCCCTGTAGTCCAGTGAGTTCCGCCCTGCTTGAGATAAAGGAAGACTGTGACGTCATGGTCTCCGGGACTCAGGCACTTCCCAGTTTACTTTAAAGGGGCTTTGAAGAGAAAGAGATCGAGTAAAAGCAGAAGAAATAGATATTTTTTAATAATGTAATTTAAAGAAAATCCTTTATAAGCTCTTTAGTTTGCAGAGCTGTTTGCCCTGATGGGCAGAATCAAAAGGGAAATTTAAGGTTCTGGTTTGATTTTCGTTTCCTCTTGGAACCCACGTTTACTGGTAGAATTATGGCTTTCCCCGTCCCCACCCCCTTCTCCAACGTTGTATATTCCTTACAAAAGGAGGCCTGTGGAGATCGGGCAGGACCATGCCTGCGAGTGGGAGCCAGCAGATCATGAGTCCATACCCAACATCAACTGCAAGAAGCAGAGCCCTCGTGGTCTAGTGGGCTAAGCTTCAAACTGCTGATGGAAAGCTTGGCAGTTCAAATCCCCAAGCCACTCAGAGGGAGAAAGACAAAGCTATCAGCTCCTGTTAAGATTTACAGTTTCGACAATCCTATGGGGGGGATTGCTGGGTCCCACAGGGTTGCTGTGAGCCCACGTCCACTGGATGGCAGGGGCTTTTGACCACCGCACTCAGCAAGCCCATTGGGGAATCCTGGCACCCCCACGTTCCTTTGATCTTTTGTCAGTGTATTTGGTGCCCCTCCAATGCTGGTCTTTTTGTAGAAACTCAGTAGAGAAAAGTCTAGCTAAGCAGCGTTGGAAAGCCTGCTGCCTTTCCGTTTACATATCAACAGCACACTCACTGATTTCTAAGTGGGCTGGCCCCATCATCTGAGCATTCTGTATAGGAGTATAGAACAAAACAAGGGAAAAAAATATCATCTTTTATTTTCTTCACATGAGACAATTTTCTTAAGCACTTTGTCATTTTGGTAGTTCCATACTATTGAGAGAAGAATATATTTATTTTGTGAGATTGAAGATGCCAAATACTGTAACCTTCTTGTGCTAACAAGACATAGGTCCAAGGTCACTGTTCAAATCCCATCACACTTTCCAAACCACGCCAACTGGTTTTGTGTTTTGCATCATCAATACTTAAGGGTGCAGTCAGCCGTTAGTACTTGTGCCGTAAAAGTTAAACCCTGTGGTGCGTCAGCTAACAGTCCAGAGTGTCAGCTGATTTCTGTAACGTTTGACCTAATATTATGGCCCATTTCATTGCTGCCAAACAGAGGGGGCGGGGGCGACTGCCTTTGGCATGGTCCCCTCCAGAGCCCTGGCTAGTCCCTCAGGGACGTGCTCTGCCTTCTGACCTTTGGGAGGTGACTGGGTGTCACATAGGAAGCTGGCCTCCCCACATGAGCATTTCAAACATTTGCTCATAGATCCGGGAGGCTGGTTTTGTTTCAGAAAAAAAACCCTTCCCCAACTCTGTCACCATGTTGGGACACGGTTTCATTTTCCATTTGTTCCTGCTGTAGCTCTGTCCTGCTCATCCCCTGGACTTCCATTCCCTTTTATAACGCATACATGATGCTGTGAACAGTAATAAATTATTTATACAATCAGACGTCTGGGGAGTTTTCTTTTTAAATGGCTGGATTAGGTTGAATAGTTTTTTGGGTTTGGTGGTTTTTTTTTTTTTCCAATTAATGGATTGTATTTCTTAGGCTACCTTTGCTGCAAGGGGTTGGGGTGAGGGAGGCTGACATGAGGCCTGAGAGGTTCTAGCAGTTTCTAGGCTTGTATCAACCCTTTGATTCCAGTACTGGTTACAGGTAACTAAGTAACACAATAGGTTGAGTACTTGACTATCAGCCAATAGTTCTAACTCAACCCCAGGGGGTTCCCATCTGCTCCCCAGAGATCACAGCCCTGGATACCTCAGCAGCTCTGCACTGCTCAAATGGGGTCACTCAAAAGTGGGCATGGCCTAACTGCCCTCCAGCTGCCCCTCAGTGATGAGCCCAGCTCGAATGCAGGCAGCAGTGTGCCCTGAAGTTTCACCCACTCGTCCTGACCCTCAAACTGGGCACTTGCTAATAACAAGACCAAACACTCCACCCCCGGCTGTCCAGTCAGTTTCCGCCCTCAGCGACCCCAGGGCACAGAGGACCTCCTCGCAGGACTTCTGAGATGGTAGCTGTACGGACGCAGGCTAGCACGTCTTTCTCCCACGGTAGGTCTGATGTTCTGACCTTTTGGTAAATCTTTGTAGTAAGAGAAACACAATTTTTCCCTACACAGCTGCTGGCAGATTTGAACCACCAACCTTTTGCTTAGCGGCCGGCCACATTACACACTAGGAGACCAAATACACCAGGCTTTCTTCCCGGGACAGAAACCAAACCTACAAAATCAAGTGTCCAATTCTGACTGATGATGACCCCACTCGGTTCCCGATGGGGGAAGTTCCTCATTGGAAAGAACCAGAAACCCCATTGCCATGGAGTCAGAACCCACTGGTGGCTCAGCCTCCCCTGTGGTTTCCAAGGCTGTGAGTTCTCAGGAGGCGATTGCCTCTCTCAGAATTACTCATGGACTTGAACTTGTAGAGATGCTGATTGTGTGTGTCAGCAGCCGAGTTCCCTCCTGATTAGATACAAGAACGCCATGGTCATCACAAGTTCTTTAGGGAAATGAACCTCAATGTTGAGTCCACTCTTGGAGCTTTCATTAGTTATGTTGTTGTTAGCTGCCCTTGAGTTGAGCATGACTCCTGGTAACCCTACAAACAACCCGTCTGAACCCTGTGCTGTCCTGTGCCGTCCTCACAATCTGCGACACAAGCCCATTGCCCCAGTCACCATGTCAACCCACCTGCTTGAGGGTCTTCCTCTTTTGCCACCACTCTACCTTCTCAAGCATGTCCCTCTCCAAAGAATAACCTCTCCTAACAACATATTCAAAGTACATGAGATGACTCTTCATCTTCTTTGCCTCCAAGGAGCACTCTGGCGGCACCTTCTCCGAGACGTACCTGTTTGTTTTTTCAGCAGTCCACAGGATAGTCAACCCTCTTCTCCAACACTACAGTTCAAACGCATCAGTTCTGTCATTTTTATTCATTGTTCCTGCTCTCAGTAGCATAGCAAGTGATTGAAAAAACCATGGCCTAGATCAGGCACACCTTAGTCCTCAAACTGACATCATTACTCTTCAATTATTTGGATAAGTTTTTGACTGAAAGCTTTCCCAGTGCCTCCTGATCCCCTGGCTGCCGATACCAAAAGCATTGACTGTGGATCCAAGTAAGATGAAGTCGTTGACAGTCTCAATCCTATTTCTACCCATCATGACATTGTGTATCATCTAGCGGCAAGGATTTTTGTTCCCTTGACTTTGAGATATAATCCATCATTAGTTTTAATTACTTCAGAATTGCTATCTGATTACATAAAATTGGAATTGTCTCTTGCCAATATGATAACATCGATCACGGAAAGCTGCCCAGTGGTGTAAGTGCCCCTGGCAGTAACCACCGTTGTGCCCTCCACTTCAGGACTCAGCAGTGCTCCTTGCTGATGCCGCCCACCTCAACTGTGGAGACCCTGAGAGCAGGTCAGCTTCCTGATGGAAGAATGACCGCGTCAGAATCAACACAACCTTCAGCACACATCACACCTTCCAGGTGTGTGCTGCATGGCGTCCTGGAGAGATAGTAATCACTGAATAGTGACCATATGAGGCCTCAAAGGTAAGCGCCTCCTGCAAAGACTTAG